TATTATTATTATTATTATTATTATTATTATTATTATTATTATTATTATTATTATTATTATTATTATTATTATTATTATTATTATTATTATTATTATTATTATTACTATTATTATTACTATTATTATTACTATTATTATTACTATTATTATTACTATTATTATTATTATTATTATTATTATTATTAGTTATTATTATTGTTATTATTATTGTTATTATTATTATTATTATTATTATTATTATTGATCAATTATTATTAATTACTTAGAGTTTTTTAAGAGTTTTCCAAAAAAAAGAAAATAATAGGTCGTTTGTCAAAGTATGTTCTAAAATTTCTCACTTCTGCTTTCTCAGAATTTCTTCATTCTTCCTCTATCCTATAGGACAACTAATTCCTTGATTTCCCTCTCTCAATTTTATTTTTAAGCAAAATGAGAATACTTTATTGTACTGAAAGTATTTTTGCAAAAAGTTGCATGCGGTCAAACAATTTGTAGTATGTTTGATAAGATAGGAATTTTTTGAATATTTGTGAATCCAATGAATAGAAACGTTTCATAAAAAGGATGAGTGGATCTGCGAAAATTCTTTCCAAAATTTTAATAAATTCAGACTAAATTCTCATTCCTTTATACTGATAGGACATCATAATTCAAAGGGTTACTCCTTTGAATTATCAGCAACTACTATTACTAATCAATTTTCAACGACATGTGTAGTGCAATATTATCCGTACCATATCAGCCATGAATTCATCATACCGTTGACGTCTAATACTTCTTCTGACAATACTTCGAAAAGTTTCTGATTTCCTGCAAAAGCTCCCTCTTCTTAATGTTAGCAATACATAAAAAGGTCATTTTTTGGTTAACAACAGTATACTTTCATATATCTATCAATTTGTCAAGAATGTGGGGGAAGAACGGGAGAGATAAGAGGGAAAGGGAAGTAATGAATAGAAGTTTACCGAGAATCTCTTCTCATTTCCATATAATCGTATGTATTTGCAGTGTTTGCATTGGGGTTACCGTGGAATGCCATTGTATTCACTTAAAATTGATTAATTTGATGAGAAAAAAAAAAAATCTTCGAAATCCATCAATCAAAATTCCTTCCCCCACCCTTATCCTCTTTCTACCCCAAAACAGTGAATATAAATGGACAGGAGGGATATAATCATTCGTGTTATAGCATTAATTTAAATAAATTCTTCCAATCACTCTTTTTATAATTTTCAAATTTTTGCAATTAAAAAAAATCTTCGATTACTTTCATCTTATCATGTCCTTCTATTTTAATTCAGTTATCTGTGTGAGGGTATAGCAGAAATCGATCAAACTATAACAGTGATCTTCGACCTACTCATTTTTGATTAAAAGTAATCAAATTTATAAAATGTAAGAAGAGAGTAATCACAATTAATACTGAAATTTGATACAGAAATTGATATTAAAGTAAACTTACCTTCAACATATTTAATGGAAACGCAATTAGCAATTACTGTAAAATACCACACTAAGCCGACTTTCATTGTTTCGGGAAAAAATAATGAATGGTCTCTAATCGATATATATCTTTTACAGTGCTTTTTTTTCCGTTTCTACAAATTGAGAAGAAATTGAACAAATTTACATGAAGTAGATTAAATTTTGAAAATTTTAAAAGTTATTAAAGTAATGCCACAAATTTTAATCGTTAAATTAATTATGAAACTGTCAATTTTCTGTGAACACTTTTTTCTCTTTGTTTTCAAGCTGATAAGCTTATCACCTAGCATTTGTCAGTCATTTCGTTACATTATCATTCCATATGCCATTCACCAATTTCCATTTAGGTGATAGGAATTAAACAGTCTTTCTTTCTTTGTCATTTCTATCAGAACTGGGTTAATTTTAGGAGAAACTTCATAACCTAATAAGTTCTGGTAATAATTACATGAATAAATTTCTACCTATTGTAGTCCTTCCTATATTTCCCTCAGTTGAATTTCATAAATTCTTAAACTTAACATTTCATTAAAATTTGTGAATGGGGACATTTCAAAATACTAGAAAGAAGCATACGTAAATTGGTAAGCGAACTATTACCCAGAGAGTCATAATTGTTTATCCGATACTAAATGAGTACTGAACAGAGTGCTGCAAGTCAAGTGAAGAAATGACTGAAAAGGAGAGGTGACATCTCGAGTGAAATATCCTTAGTGGTCGAGATTGTATTGCACATCCACGGGAATACAGGTAATAACATATCGGATAAACCTCACTGCCCTGGCAATTCATTATTTGTTTTTTCCCCCGCATAATTCTTCCTTCTCTTCCTGCTTTCCATCTCATTTTTTTCACCTTTCTTCTGCATTTTGTATCATAGTATATATTCTGTTATGTATTTTCCAGGTACAATTTGATACATAACTGATTTTCTTTAAGAGATTGTAACTATGAATCGTAATCTAGTGAATATATCACGATTAGATCTCAATCTAATTGTATTAATATATCACTTTCTGCAAAGTTTCGAACTGTTAAATCTTATTAAAATTATAAAAAACAAATCGTTTCTCTTCAAATTCCATACATTTTCCAATATTTACTCAATATTTTTTCCCTCCACCTTTCTCTTAGAGGAATCTAAAAAAGCAGCTTTTATTATCAAACTAAAATATTGATTATCAAAGCAAAATTTATTTCACTTCTTAACAATCACTCAAGTGTTTCTAGTTTCAAAATTACAAAATTACATTAAAACCTATCTTTTAATTATTTTTCATATTTACAATAAATCATTGGATAATATGAAAGTAGGTTTATTTTAATTAGCCTATTATATTCTATGTCATTTAATTACTTTGGACACGTTTCTGAGTTCATAGAAATAATTTCAATCGCTTTTACAATTTTCCCACAACAACCAGCCATTCAATAAAATTCATTTATTCCTGTCATCACACTTAATGCTGCTATTTAATCCGGAACGTCCGGATGAAAGTTGCTACACCTCAATTTGATGATAATTTCAGTAAATACCAAATCATATCAGTTGTAATTTCTTTTTCTTCTCCTTTTGTGCAGTCAATGTATGAAACATTCACAAATTCTGTATTCTACTAAATTTATCAAAATTTCCACTTCTGTATTCAGCACGACGATGTCATTTACAATGGGAAGTGACACTTTCATTGTAACTGCTAAATTATTTGTGGAAAATCGATCACGTCTAGTGGAAATGCTGAAAAAGAAAGTTCATCCTGGAAGTATTGTACTGCTAAAAGGTGGCATGGAACAGAATCGTTACAATACAGATGCTATGGATCTTCCATTTCGACAAGTTCAATTCTTTCCTCTCTTTTTTACATTAAAAATTTTTTCTTATATTATTTTCTGATGCTAAAATTTTATATCATCCTTACGTCATTTTTTTGCATTAAAATTCCTTCCATTACTTTTTTTAACGCTGAAATTTCCCTTTGCGTCACTTTTTTCTTTTTGCCGTATAATTTACATTTCTTTATCATAATGTATCATTTAGGTGACATTCTTTCCCAACTGATAACTATCATGAAAAGCTGCTCGATTCGAATGTTTGTTATTCAGCTAATTTCCTTCACGTACAATTTTTAACTTTTTTCCTTCTTTACAGGAATCGTATTTCTTTTGGACTTTTGGAGTTCATGAAAGTAATTGTTTTGGTGCTATAGATGTTGATTCCGGACGATCATTTCTTTTTCCGCCACGGTTGCATCCGGATTTCTCCATCTGGCTTGGAAGGTACGATTTCTTCTTTTTTTTTGCAATAATATTGAGCTATCTCGTTCAAACCGTGGGAACGGAAAGTGATTATGATATGTTGTAATTTGACAAACATAAGGCTAAGGAACTAAACTAGGACTACTTTGTCGAAATTGTCATTTATTTTACTAGATGCAAACCATTTAAGAGTTAAATATTGGTTGCTTCATTGTCTCTTAATAATAATTACTGTTAGAAAATGAATAAACTGTTACCAAATAATTAAGTAATTTTAAAGCAACTTTACTGCTTTATTGATATATTTTCAATTTTTTCGAGCCGTTTTTTTCAAAACTAAGTTTTTTCTTCCTTTTTCATGCGAAACATTTCAAATTTAAAAAAATCAAACATTGCTAGTATCAACAATGAGGAATGGTACCAGAAGAAGTATCAGGTTGATGAAGTACACTTCAACGATAAAAATACCATCATTGAAACATTAACGAATTTACATGCAAAGCAATTGCTGTTGCTGGTAAAATTTTTATGTTCTCTTCTTTAATCATTTATTGATAAATATTAATTGTAAGCAGACATTCCAAGCAGTTTTATAAAATAAAAAAGAAAAAACATAGTGATAAGTTTGACCATTGACCTGTATGGTAGAAATCTTGTCAATTTATTAAAATTGTAAGAGGGTAAATATATCGCTATCAGTTCTACATATAGTTATTATTCATTAATTTTAAATGGAAAAATCTTTTTTTATTTTTAGAAAGCTAATAATTCAGATAGCAATGAAATATTGGAACCACCAATTATTAATGGACTAAACAAGTGAAAATTCTAGAACTTATTTTTTTTCTCTGATAAATTTGATATTGATAATATAACATAGGAAAAATTTAGATGGAAAAAAAAGGAGTTATAAACTCAACCGGAATTATAAACCTTTTTAGAAAGAGAATGAATAGGACGCTATCAATTAGTTGTTCAGGAAATTTTTCCTGAAAAAGTTTATTTGTGATGAATGACGGAACTGGATAAGGATATTTTTTCTCTTTGTACAAATCAAGTGCATCATATTTGGTTCAAATATTGCTCATTACAAAGAAGGTGACAATAACTTTTGCATTCAGTTTACCTTGTGACACATCGATACTGTATCAGATTATGGCTGAACTTCGTGTTTTCAAGACCGATCATGAACTTAATGTTATGCGTTACGTTTGCAAGGTATTTTTGAATTTATTCATTTTTCTTTTGAACATTTGACACAAATGTAAATATGCAAATCTCACTAATATTAAGTTAAAAAAAATGGTGACAAATACATTAGTGAAAAATAGCAATCATACGTCAGTCACTAGTCGTCAACTTATCACTTATAACTAACGAATCGACGAAAATTAGTTGAGATGGCGTAAGCTGGAAATTCGGCAGTTACTTTTTTCAAAAAATTTTACTGTTTGGATTTTGCGATGGAAAGTTTGATGCCCTTTGTCATACCACACTCTGGTGACAAGGACAAATGACGAGGCATTGGTGGACAAAGCTCTAAAATATCCACTTTATTCATTGTTATTTTAAATGAATTTCGGAGCATTATCATTTGTATCAAGGACAGTTACGTGCATAATTGCACGATTCACTTATTGTTCCGTTTTCACACTTACGTTTCAATTTTTAATAATCCACTGTTTCTAGGTCCAATAATGCTTGAGTTCAAAGGTTGCAGTTACCTTCGGAACCAGCTGAAATGCTGAAGACTTCCAGAATATTCTTACTTCATAGTTTACATGCTGTAACAATCCAATTAGCAGATTTATTGGTTTAGATAGATAATCGTTACATTATTAAGTAAGGGCTAATAGGTAAGAGTTATAAGTCCACTTCGCTATACTTGTCCATGTTTTATATACATCGTACTTTGAAATATACTTATGCAAATTTTTAGGTAGCATCAGAAGCACATAAAGCAGTAATGAAAGCAGTGAAACCTGGAATGTATGAATATCAATTGGAAAGGTATAAATTTAACTTTCCTCCTATAAATCAGGTAGAATTTTGAGCTTTCATCATACAAATATTATTACTGTTGTTATTTAACTTGACACTTACCTCAGATAACTTCAATGCCCAATTTTTTTCTGACAATTATTGAAATTTAGAATGAATTAATACACGAGTTCGTATTAATTAACAAAGATTGCATTTTAATTTCGGTGTCAACCTCTTCAATCAAATATACTTTCACTTGTTTTGAGTACACGTGCAATATGTGGAATTGAAATGTGAAATGAAGTTTGTCATCGTTTCAAACCATTTCACTGCTTATCAGCGATGAACAACTCGTTGATGCATTTAAAAGCTAACTTGAATGAAAAAATGTTCTGGTGAAAAAAAATAAATTCCGTATTTAAATTAAAAATTACATTTGAAATCCAAATGAAAAATAACGGACTGAAAAAAAAACGTAGAAAATGATTGATCGTTGTAGCTTATTTCGGCATCATTGTTATTATCACGGAGGATGTCGACATTTGGCCTACACTTGCATCGCTTCATCGTAAGTATTGGATTTTTAATAGTATTGGTTAGTAATTTATTTCATTCTGGAATAATTTAAGACAAACTTGAATTTTAACTTCTTTTTCTTGGAAGAAACTACAGTACACTCGGTTTTAAAAACTTAGACTCGTTAAACTCAATTTTGAAAGTCTTGGATTCGTCAAGTTTGAAAATCTTACGCTTGTTAAATTCAACTTCAAGAGTCTTAGACTGATCAAACTCAGCTTTGAAAGCCTTAGACTCGTGAAATTTAGTGGATGCAATAGTGCAATCCTACATTATGGCCATGAAAATGCGCCAAATTCCAAAGAAATTACCGATGGTGACCTGTGCTTGTTCGACATGGGTCCCGAGTATAACTGTTATGGTTTGTTGTTGATATGAATTCTCATTCTCATCCTTTCAAAATACTTTCAAATGGAAAAGAAACAAATAATACATGATAGAATGAAAGAGGAGGTAGCAGCAAGTTATCTTTGACCTCTAGCCTTGAAAGTATTTAAAAAAAAAGACTTTTGACCATTTTCTTTTGAAAAAAAAGACCATTTTCTTTTTTCCCGTCGTGATATCTTTCTTTTTTTTTTCACATTTTAAAAATACTCTTCTGTTTTTGTTGGTCATTTCCACTTTCATTTTAGCATCAGATATTACGACAACATTCCCGTGTAATGGTAAATTTACGGAAAAACAAAAAGTTATTTATAACGCTGTCTTGGCTGCAAATACAGAGGTATTTAAAGCTGCTAAACCAGGCAAGTTCCTTTATTTGATATTTATTTTCCGTTGATGATTGATTAAGTTAATTAACAAATACATCAGTTAATTAATCATTGAATAGTGATTGTTGATTATTATCCATAGGATGAATGATATTAGTTAATTAATCTTTGACAAGCATTTAATGATTATATAAATTATTGATATTAACCATTCTCGAACTTATATTTGTTTCACTTCCATTTTTCTTATTTTTTCAGTATTTAACTTCAATCTTTAATACATTTTGCATATTCTCACCTTTTACGTCTAGGCTTATTTCAATTCATTTCAATTCTTGCTCAGTTCAATTCTAACTTTTAATTTGACTCCAACTAAGCATTAGACAAATTGCAATACGATTCCCCGAAATATTCTAGGATGTGACTGTCAATGTGAGATGGATTATGTTTAAGATGTTTGAGAAATCTTAAAACTTCAATAGATACGTTCTACACAACAGTAATGAATGACTCTAATAATTATTCTTAAAATTTTGCTCTACAGTTTTCTAATCTTTAAAATCAAATTTTTTTCGAATATGAATTGTTTTGATTTTGAAAATTCTGCTCAATTTTTTTTTGTTGTGTTTTTTACAATTTAACTGTGTATATTTATATATTATATCTGTTTAATTAGATCAAAGATTGCTTGGGGGAAAAATTATATTTAATTGACTCACTTATACTGAAATATGGACCATTTCTGTTGCTTTTTTCCGAGCAAATTTTTTTAAAATTTGTTTTAAAGGATTACGATGGAATGAAATGCATATGTTAGCGGAACGGATCATACTGTCGCATTTGAAGGATGCTGGAATACTGAAGGGTGATTTGGAAGAAATGATGAAAGCACGAATGGGTGCGGTATTCATGCCTCATGGATTAGGGCACCTTATGGGACTTGATGTGCATGATTGCGGTGGTTATCTTGGAGTTAGTTATCTTTAGACCTTTTGACCTTTTGTTATTTATTTAGGAAAAAATCTTGGGAAATAGAAAATTAAAAGAATATATGTACAACAAAGCATGCAAATATGTAAATGATATAAATGCAAATTTATCACTAATATATAAAACTCTTTCTTCCTCTGACACCCAAAATAATCTCCATCAAAATGACATAGATTACTCTGGATGTTAGAGGTATGAAGAATCTGAGGTACGTAACATATCCCAAAATTCTAGAATTATGATTTTTCGAGAAATGAGAAATCTTGATTCCAAATCTGTCTGTTGGGAGTCATTTTTCTTTCTTATATATCTCCTTATATTCTCTCCAGGCTATCGCATATTTTAGATTTGCTACTAAATTTTGTTGATTTTCACTTTTTGCCCTATTTTTACTCCTCATTAAAGTGAAAACAGACATGTAAAGTGACTTTCAGGATGCTGAACTTCGATCAACACTTCCAGGCCTTAAGGCTTTACGTACAACGCGCACCTTGCGTGAAAGAATGGTGATAACCATCGAACCAGGATGTTATTTTATCGATACGGTATCTTTTAAATGCAATTTAATTTTCAGATCACATGAGGTGAAAGAAAATGCAACAGAACGTGCTGCATATGTATAATTTATTGTCCATTCCATCTTTCAGTTTTTCTCTTAACTCACTTTTCACTTATACTTTAACTTATTGTTTTTTTGAGATAGTTTGATTCAGCCTTCATTTACATTACTTTTCATCCACTATAATTTACTTTTTAATCAACTTCACTTGACCTAATTTTATTTACTTTTAATGAAGTGTTATTTATAACTTTCTACAACTTTCAAATTCCAGCTGCTTGACGCTGCACTTAATGATCCACTACAAAACAAATTCATTGTCAAAGAAAAGCTAAACGAATTCAGAGGTTTTGGTGGGGTAAGCTTCTTTTCTTTTTTTTTTTTTCTAGAGATTTACCTTGTGT